CAGCAGCAACAGGCACAGTTACAGCAGCAAGTGCAAGAACAACAGCTCTTGCAGCAGCAACAGGCACAGTTACAGCAGCAGCAAGTACAAGAGCAACAACAGTTACAGCAGCAGCAACTGCTACAACAGCAGCAACTGTTACAACAGCAGGAACAATTACAGCAGCAACAGTTCCAACAGCATCAGGAACAGCTACACCAACAGCAACTACTGTTGTTACAGCAGCAGGAACAGTTACAACAACAGTTGTTGCAGCACCAACAACAGGCACAGTTACAGCAGCAGCTCCTGCAGCAGCAGCAGGCACACATACAGCAGCAGCTATTGCTGCAGCAGCAGGAGCAGTTACAGCAGCAGCAACAGCAACAGCTATTGCAACAGCATCAGGAACAGCTACAGCAACAGCAGCCTCCTCCAATGGAGCCAGAGGAGGAGGAAGAGGTGGAACTGGAGCTCATGCCAGTGGACCTGGGGTCAGAGCAGGAGCTGGAGCAGCAGCGGCAGGAGCTAGAGCGGCAGCAGGAACTGGAGCGGCAGGAGGAGCAGCGGCAGCTGCAACTCAAACTGCAGGAGCAGTTGCAGCAGCTGGAGCAACAGTTGGAGCAGCAGCAGCTAGAGCAGGAGCAGCTGGAGCAGCAGGAGGTGCAGCTGGAGCTCACCCCCGTGGAGCTGGGCACCCAGCAGCAGGAGGTGCAACTGGAGCTGACCCCTGTGCAGCCTGAACTGCAGCTGGAGCTGGTTCCCGCTGCAGGGAGCAGCGCGGCGACTGTCCCAGGGGCTCCAGCGGCTGTTGTGGTGGCCCCCCCAGGCTACGTGGTGCTGCAAGAGCTCATGGTGCTGCCCGCAGTGGCCACGTCAACAGTGGTGGCCATCCCGGGCCCAGCGGGCAGCGCCGCGCTCACTCCAGCACGGCAGCGGCGGCGACGGCGCGCACGAGACCGGCCGACCATCTGCGGAGAGTGCGGCAAGGGCTTCAGCCGCAGCACAGACCTTGTGAGGCACCAGGCCACGCACACCGGCGAGCGGCCGCACCGCTGTGGTGAGTGCGGCAAGGGCTTCTCGCAGCACTCCAACCTGGTGACACACCAGCGCATCCACACGGGCGAGAAGCCCTACGCCTGCTCGTATTGCTCCAAGCGCTTCAGCGAGAGCTCAGCTCTTGTGCAGCACCAGCGCACGCACACTGGCGAGAGGCCCTACGCCTGTGGCGACTGCGGCAAGCGCTTCAGTGTCTCCTCCAATCTGCTGCGTCACCGGCGCACACACTCGGGCGAGCGGCCCTACGTGTGCGAGGACTGTGGCGAGCGCTTCCGCCACAAGGTGCAGATTCGCCGCCACGAGCGCCAGCTGCATGGAGCTGGCCGCTCGCGTGGCCTTGGCCTGCTGCGGGCCTCGAGGCCGGCGCCGTCTACTGGCCCATCGCGCGCCCAGCAGGCCTCCGGGGCCACAGCATCCACCAACAAGGCTTCATGATGCGGGTGCGCATCTCTGCAACAGAAGGCAGAGGGCCAGGAGCAGAAAGGGGTCAGCCTGGAAGCACGGGGCATCCAGGGCGGGGAGGGTGCTCTTTCAAGCACCCTCCACATGAGTGGAGGGTGAGAAGCCCCACATGGAGTGGGATGGACACCTCGACCCCAGTTCATGGTCATGACCCCAGTACAACATCTCCCGGATCATCCTGGAATATCCTTGGGAACGAAAAGACTACCATCATCCCCCATATTCCCTGAGAAGTGCCAGGTTCACAGATCCACCCCCAGAAATCATCCACAAGAGAACAGCCACTGTGGCTAAAACAGCACGTGGGGAAACCCATGAGCGAGAGGGCTGCCAAAAATTTTCCCCTGAGAAAATTGGACTTAGTAGAAACAAGAACAGCCTGAGAACACTCCCCAGGACAATTGAGGATGTTTGACGTGGACCAAACACTCACCAAGGAATAAAATAAATCTGGTGAGGCACACATGGAAAATAATGGATCCTGGTGAAAATTATTTAAAGGAGGAAAAAAACAGGGAAAAAGTAAACTTACCTGCACTATGTAGGAAACTGATCAAGGCATTGAATTGTCCTCAGTGGCATTTGCCTTGAAAATACTTGCCAGTATGAAAATCTATTGGGCTGAATACAATTCTGATGAAAATACCTGTTTTCATAAACACAGGGTCACAGTGTCTATGGGGTCAATGTGCAAATAAGTGCCAGGAAGTCTTGATCTGGGTGGAAGGTAAAACCTTTCCCGCCTGGGGAACCCAGAATTGGAGCAGGTGTCAGAGGCAGGTTCTAGGCCTCTGCTGCAATGTTCTCAATCCACCAGAGGCCCTTTAATATTCCCTGGAATAGAGAAGCCTGTAGCTGAAACAGAGCGCATTCTGGGAGGGCTCTCCAAGGTCTGGAAGAAGCCTCCCCAGGAAAGATCTCCAAGATAGCCCCACCCAGCCAAGCTGCTCAGATGCTGCCCAGAGGTTGACTCCTTGAGACCTGGGAACAGAGATCTCTTGGATCAGGATAAGGGGAGGGGCACCTGAACAGACCTTGCCTTCTGGCCCCAGGATGTGTGAAGAATGTTGGGGACAAAGATTAGGAGGAACAGAAAGGTTATTTACCATGTTTACCAAATCGTCCAGGGCAGGGGCTGTATGAGCAGTAGCAATTGCTGATTCCTCATGGGAAGGTGAGCTGGTGGAGGATGTCACTGGCCACCTCTGGGCTTGAGGCTCTTCCTGGCCAACCTGACTTCCCACGTGGCTGCTTAGTTCCTGCCCCTCTCTCCCCTCCCTGCTTCTCCTTTACTAACACAGCCTGCCACATTTTACACATGTGTTGGTAAGTGAGAAACAAAACATAAAAAATAAAGTGAAGAAACACAGTGTCCTGTCTTTGTGATTTCACTTCTGGATTTTGTGTCTCCCCTCAGGTCTTCATTTCTAAGGAAAAATTGCCTGGGTATTCTAGAGCAGGAACTTAGTATTCATTCTCTTTGCCCAGTACTCCCCCAGACCCTTCCTTCCACCTGTGTCCCTTGGCCAGAGAATGGGCCTATTCAGTAAAACCCTCATTGGAAGAGCCAGTTTCAGCATTTTGTAAGGACAAGCTTTATATCGATTCAGTCCAGTTGCCGTGTGGAGTGCTGGGATGATGGTGAGAGCTCACTATTGGATGGCCATTTGGAGAGGGGTCATGAGACTGGGGGTCCCCTCTCAGTCCTGAGAGTCTTTAATTCTAAGACTTAACCAGTCAGATGCTCTCAGAGTTTTTGGTCATTCTTGYGTCTCACTGGCTCCCCACTTTCATCTCCAACAGTACACATCCTCAACTCTTTTTTTTTTGGGAAGATGACCTTTGGGCTTCTGGAATCCCTTGATTCTATCTATGTAGAAAAGCTAGCTATCCCTTTGAATTGCCTTCTCTTTGGGGGCCCTTAGCCCATTAAGATGGTATGGGGAGACAAGCCAAGCTCTTCTGCTTCTGGTCAGGATGGCAGGGAGGAGTGATTCACATGAAGTTTGCCGGCAGGATCTGATCAAAGGGTACCATGTTGGGAAAATTGTTATTGCAAAGCCTGGAATTGGTAGGTTTTGCTGGGTACAGTTAATTCCATGRCGGAGGGAAATGAGAGGTTTGAGTCCACAGATGTCATTTAAAGGCACATAAGGACATGAAGAAGGCCTTTATGCAATATTTAAAGAAACCCTATGTGCAAGGCCCTGGTTCAATCCCCATCTCCATAAAATAGAAAAAAATCCTCATTTCCTTTAGCTAACGGCAGGTTCCTAAAGACCAGACACAGGGCCTATTGCAAGAGGTTGCAAGAGCAGAGAAACTTCACAGAGGGCTGGACCAGACTCACATCAGGGCCCTGATATAGAAAGAGAGGGCTCCTTTAGCTTGGATTGATGAGCCCCAGGTCATGTGTTTGAGGTCAGTGAGTCCTGCAATTCCCCCAACCCAATGGGCCTGCAGATGTGGCCATTTTCCTTTGCATTTGTGTCCCTTGCCTTGTCTGAAGACCTTGCAGAGGTCTCATTGAGGTAGATGCCTTTCAGGGTGATGCTTGCGTTCCTTAAGGTCTGCCCCACTTCTCTTCCTGGCGATGAGACCTATAACGGGTTTCTAGGTCTAGTGTGGTCTGGCTTGGGGAGGACCAATTCTGTAGAGGGAGAGACAAAATTATTCACCAAGGGAGCTGTAAGATCTGGCTGTTATATACCTGCAGGAACCAAGAAAGCATGCCTAGATGGATACTCCCCTCATGAAGGAGCAAAGGAATGTGCAGAGGAGAGGCACTGGCCTCACCAGGAAGCTCAGCAGGGGCTGTTTCCTGTAGATAGATCAGGGCTGACACTGGAGGTGCAGTCATGGAGCTGGACTCCCTCATGTCAGTGGGTATAGCAGAATCTTGGGCTAGCAGGGGGCCAGCTGTAGTGCTTAACCACCAGGGGAAAGATGGACATGACKGATGAAGTGGGAAGTAAGGTTGGAATGGCAACCAGAAGGCTCAGATGCAACGGAGGTGTCTATGGTGGTGAGTAGTGACCATGGTGTTCCCAGGGGGTGGAGAAATGATCAGTCACCTAGGGTATTGCTATATATATCCCCCACAAAAAGGTCAAGTGGTGCCCTTGAAGGCCACTGTTAGTTTCCCTAAAGGAAAGTCATGATCTCTGGTCTCTTTCCCAGTTTCTAGATCTGAGCCAGTTTCTTAGATCCAGAGAAGTCAGGGCCTTAAGGAAGGACTTTATGATTCCACTGCATTTGGTGTATATGGACAGCAATGATTTTCTYGGCCCTCTTCCAAATGGACCTAGAGCCACTTACCCAAGTAAAATTCATCAAGGGGATGGGACACCCAGATCTTTCCACCAGGGGCCCTGACCTCACCAGGGTGACGATCTGAGTCACCCCCTCAGACCAGTCCCCTAAACCCAGTAGAAGTGCCAAAGGCAGAGCATCTAGAACAAAGTTATTGGGCAGATGAGGAGTATCGGTTATGGCCTTGGGGCCATCTACAGCTTCGGCAGGGACTGGGGCATACAGCCTGCCCCTTCTTTGATATGTGTTCCTCATGTGGAGTGGAATCGACATGAAATTGAGTGGTTGTATGTGAGGCAAACAGTGGTCTGGAGCCAACATTGATTCTCAGCCCACACCTTTTTGGATGGATCCTCTGGATGGATGTGTGGGTTCCCCCCACCCCTGGCCTGACTTCAGGGAGCTCAGCTCCCAGCAGCCAACACCTGAAGCTCTTCCCCTCATGCAGCACCAGAAGTGCCTGAGAGTAGATCTCCCCGCAGTAGGCCTGAACAAACTGGAGTGTGGGCCTGGGAAAGCCAGCTACCTCGCCTGAGGTCGGGACAACATGAGGGTATTACTTCTGCTCTGGTACAAGATCAGGTTCCCTTGGCAAGACTGCCCGAGCCTCTCCCCCTTCCTACCCTGTGTCCCCTTCTCTTACTACCCTTCCCTGGCTGAGTTATCTTGATTAACTGCTTGCAGAAACGGTCTTCTTAGGTCTACTTTTGGAGAATGTGACTTAAAATAGGGTACATGGGCAAAGTCTGGTMGTAGGAGAGAGAGGAAGAGCCTGGCTTGCTGCAGGTGAAAGACAGGCTGGCTCCAGGTGTGGTGAGCATTCACTGAAGAGTCCCCAGTGGGAGAGAAAGACACAGACAAATAACCATGGGCATGGAGCAACTGATGGTTGTGGGGAGCCAGGGAGCCTCCTGGGAGAATCTAGACTGGCCAGAGGTGTTTGCAGGTGAGAACTTAGGRATTGGAGAGGAGAGGGAAGTCACACGTGTGCCGAGGCTCAGAGAAGGACCTGGAGTGGTTAGGGACAGTGTTTCTGGACAGCTGGAAGGTAGGCTCTTGGAGAGAGGGAACAGAATGAAGAGGTGAGCTAAGCAGGGGCTAGGTTTTGTGGTAGCACATGATTTTCAAGCCAAAGGGGGGTGTTCAATCCTGTTGGTATTTCCTATATTTTGCTCATTTGCATATTATTTGTATTATATCCATCTTTGTGACTGCTGACTTAATTATTTTCTTTAAATGACTAATACTGTTATTGAATGATTGATTGATTGATTGGGGGCAGGAATTGAACCCAGGGGAACTTAACCACTCAGTCACATCCCCAGCCCTGTTTAATTTTTTATTTTGAGTCAGGGTCTTGCTAAATTGCTTAGGACCTTACTAAGTTGCTGAGGCTGGCTTTGAAGTCTTGATCCTTCTGCCTCAGCCTCCCAAGTTACTGGGATTACAGATGTGCACCACCATGCCTAGTGATATTGTTCTTAATAGATACGTGTAAAATAGAAACTGTTACGTTTAAAATAGAAACTGTTTCATTATAAAGGGAAGGCCAGTGGGGTAGCCTAAGCCAGCTATGTTTCCCAGAATTCCCTTTTAGAGTTCTAGTTAAGGTCAGCCACATTGGGATGCTTGCTGTGGGCAAAGAGAATACAGACTAGTTTTGGAAGAATATAATAATAAATGTCATCTATGACCAAGTGACCAGTTGCAGAAATGAGGGCTGTAATTTTTATATCCTTATTTTTATATAAATCAATTGTTTATATTTTAATCAATTTTTATCTTTCTTCCATTTCCTAAACATATAACACAAAATGTACTAATCTTGGCTAACTTTGTTTTTATTTATTTACTTATTTTTTGAGATGGAGTTTCACTATATTGTCCAGGCTGGCCTGAAATTCCTGGGCTCAAGGAATCCTCCTGACTCAGCCTTCCAARTAGATGGAACTATAAGCATATAATTCCACACCTGACCAACTTTACATGTCAGTATTTAAGTTAAAGAAAATTTATTTGTGTTGGGTGGTCCACACCTGTAATCCTACCAACTTGGGAGGCTGAGGCAGGAGGATAGCAAAGCCAGCCTCAGCAAATTAGTGAGAAACTGTCTCAAAATAAAAACAACCATAAAAGGGTTTGGGGATGTAGCTGAGTGGTAAAGTGCTCCTGGGTTCAATCCCCAATACCAACTTTTTTTTTTAATTTAAGGGATTAAATTAAATTAGAAGCCGGATGATATTACCCAGTGATACATAATGGAGCTTTGTATTTCCTTGGGGGAAAGAATCAGTGTGGTTTGGGTCATATGAAGGTGGTTGTACCATGTTAGGTGGGCTGTTGTCTTTATTTGGAGGTTATGTTTTCAAAGATTTTTTTGTGGGGGGAAGGACGGGCAGTACTATAGATTGAAGCCAGGGATGCTCTACCACAGAGCAACATCCTCAGCCCTTAAATTTATTTTGACACAGGGTCTCACTACGTTTCCTTGGCTGGCCTTGAATTGCAATCCTTCTGGCACAGCCTCCTGAGTAGCTTTGGTTACAGGTGTAGGCCTGTCTGGGTTTCAACATATATTGGACTTACTAGTGATTGCCTGGTGCTCCATTTTCATCCTAATTCTCTACCTTTTACTTTAAAAATCCCCTTTTGGGGGCATGAGTTAAGTAATTTGAGGCCAGCCTGGGCAACATAGACCTCATCTTATAAAAATATATATATGCAACTATGTGGTGAGTTCCACAGAAAAAAGCAATCTGATTGCACTTAACGATTAGAGCGCATGCATCTGACTCTGCTTCCCAGTGAGTTGACGTACACATTCCTCAGGTCAGCAAGAGCTGCTGTTGCATCCTCACTGGAAAAAGCCACGGAATGCTGGGAACTTACAAGGTTTCTGCAAAGTGTCCTGGCTTCTGCAGATCCCACCTGCAGGGAGACCCTCAGGGCAGTGCCACTGGGGGCTCCACTTGTAAAGGCTCCTCCTCTGTCCTGGAAGTTTGCACAGATATCTTCTTCTCACTTTCTCTCCCTGGGGGACACCTGGACCCAAAGCAGC